TTCATGTGATATTGATTATATTTCTCTTTTATTTTAATATTCTTGCAATTCCTCTTCTTAAGCCATTAATAGAGACTTTAAAAGGAATAGGCTTTTGTATAGGCCTGGTAATTATTTTCAATTGAGTAATCACCATAATATGGTCTCTGTGCATTTTATGAGACTATTTAATTTACTCCCTTGACAGAGTGTCATAACCCCAATCATGGCATATGACACAGCTGGCATTTGTTTGAATAAACAATCTGGCCTTGAAGGTTGCCGAATTTAAATGAACCTTCAAATTCTTCATAAAAGCAGAGCTTCAACAGGGCTCCTGCATTTAAAAACACATCTAATCCACTGTAAAACCATTCTTAATTCAACCTTAACTGAAGCATGCTCTGGTACTCAGAAATAGTAGTTAATAAAACATTGAAGTCCGGCCATATGTTAAAGAGGATATTTAGATTTCATGGTTTCAGCTGATTTTAAAGTAATTCTGACATGTTAATGTGTTAGAGCGATAACTTGCCTTGCTTTATGAGTGAAAAATATCCATGTTGGACAGTCTATATTCAAACATGAAACAAGAGACTGCAATGTAGGTAATTAAATCCTAACATGACATTTCTAGGTTTCACCCCTTGAGATGGAGTGAGGCCATATATCAATTAGTTTAAATCACGTTTAACTTCACCCATCCACTGTCTTATCCCCGGGCCAGGCTCTAACATTTCTCTTCATTTACATTGCCTGGAGGGCAGACATTATTTCACTCCTGGGAGAAGGACGTTGATGATGAAAATGGACTGTCAGACACATTAGAAGACATATAGCTCACACAGCCGAGGACCAATTTCAACATGGAGCGCAACTCAAGCCTTGATTTCATCACTAACACACAGCCTCTTTTACTTTGCTGTGATTATTTGAGTTGAATGATCTATTTAATCACATCTAGAAATAATGTGCTGCTTGTATTCACATCAGATGGTTTATACAATAAGGGAAAGATTGTGAACAAAACCACAGATTACATGTCTGTGTGCTGGGCATCACGCTGACCCATGGATGAGTGATCCAGGTCAGTCTCATCAGTGATAAATAAATCATTAGTAATACTGGCCAATATTAACAATGAGAAAATCTTTCAGAGCCTGGTCCAATTCAGTCCCCTGTTTCATTTGCACAAGAATGGGTTCATTTATCTCTGCTGTGGCTCATTTATATAACCACAATTTCACACCCAAATGGCTTGGATAGGAGTACCTGACATCTTGTATTTTGTCAACAAAAGTGTGTCTCAATGAGCATTGAGACATTCAGCAGTTATTCATCAACCTCCAACACACAGAGATGCACACACACGCACACACACACACACACACACACACACACACACACACACACACACACACACACACACACACACACACACACACACACACACACACACACACACACACACATTACATCTGCAATTGTGGTGGCAGTGTCCTAAGAAGATAGCTGCTCATGATTTGATATCTGTATGGGGCCTGTAAAGGCTGACTGACTAACTGTGGTCCTTCCAAAAATCGTACTATAATCATGCCTTTGATGTGCTGCCATAATACATTTGGCAAAGCTTCCTGTCAATGCAGCTGTGAGCTGGAAACAGAGGGCCGAATAGAGACACTCTGATAACATATTTTTATAGTTCACCTGCATCGTAGTCAACTTGGTGTCATGTCTCACAAGGGCTGTTGTCAGTGAGGATAAGTGGTTTACAGTGTGTGTTACATCTGTTTTGCACTGAAATGAAAGAGTTGTTCAACATATTTGTTCAAAATAAATGCAGGTGATGTTAATAGACAGTGGGTTTAAAGTAGTTTAGTATTTAGAGTATTTGGCATGTGTTGCATGTTTTTAGCTTGTAATGTTTCTGTATATTAAATGAACTCTCTCCAATCTAGATGTTTTTAAAAAGTAAATAGGTAATGTTTAGTGTCTGGGCCCCCTATTCTCTTCGTATAGCTTATCCGGGTGTCCCATTATATCTCCATTATAGCTCTTATGATTGTACTTGTATATGGCAGCTAATTTTGATATTTTTTTATTATTCTAAAGGAAAATAAAACGTTTCAATAAGAATAATTGTCTTGTCTTGGATGAAACTATTAGTGTGGTTTATCTATGGGAACAAAGCTAAAAGACAATTATATGTATTTTTTTCAACTTTAATCTTCACAGAATTGCATTTTTGATTGATTTATATTCATAAAGTATTATCCCTTATTTATTGAATAATACTTTAATTATAGCCGGGATACTGTGTATATGATAGTGTGTCTATTTCCGTGCAAGCATATAATAATCTGCATGATTCTGCATGTTTAGCCATTCATGTCTGTGCTAGTTTGCATGGATGCATGGCTCCATTTAATCTGCCTATTTAGTGCATATGACACGGGATGGAGGGGAAGACCACTGGACTATCTGTCCTATCTGTCGCAGCAGATGTCCATAGTGTGATGATAAATAGATGTAGCAGCCTACAGGAAGATACAGAGAATTAAAAGATGGAATAGCAAATAACACCATGTCCCATTGATGGTACACTGATTGAAAGAAAGCTGCAATTTGCAAGAAAAGAGGACAGGAGGAGATGTGTGGAAATGACAGGTTTATTGATATACTTTCATGCATCACTTACAAACACACTCACACAAAGAAACACATACACATCATTCATACTGCCTGAGCTGCAATGTGAGTTAATTTTGTCTCATTATATCAACAATACAATGAGAATGAAGCAGAGAAATTGGAAAATAAGACATGGACATCATCATTTTTCACTATTACACACACATGCTAAACTCAATTAGTTGAAAGCAGTCTATGTGCAAAAAGCCATTTTGTACATGAAGAAAGTCCTGAGAGGATTAATGGTTTATTTAGCTCTTATTACTGACAACGTATTATTGTGAAACAAAGAGAACTGTCCTTGGGAAAGGACAACGGTAAATTGCTATTAGGGCCTTCTTTTAGTGATGGCCAACCAGAGTCGTCATGGGCAACAGATTCTCAAATGGAATTTCATTGATCCACTAAGCTTAGTGCAACAACAAAGCTTTGAATGAGGACAGTCCAGTAATTAGTCTAGAGCAGGATGTAAGACTGTACAGAGGAGAAAAAGATGGTTGATTGTGTGTTTTGAATACTAATACATTGACAAATGTGACGTTGTGGGTCATTCATATTGGGTATGATTAGGCCAATTTTCATGCAAAATAGTCCTGTCCTTAAGCAGTAACCTTGAATCAGAAGGAGAAGACTCGCAGAGAGTTAGGGAGACACATAGCAGCATTTAACTCACAGTGATGAGGAATGCTTGATGTATTTCTTTAGATCCGAAGCACATACTTTACATGCCACTGGATGTCACAGCACCCTCCTGCTGCCATGTTACTTTTCCCCTTGTAAGCACTCATTTTCACTCAGTTGGACAGAACACATAAAGGCAAGTAAATTACCATTTGACTGGTCTTATAAGAGGTTTTCATATATTCCACATTAAATGCCTGACAGCTAACATTATCTGAAGTAGAACTGATTTGTTTCCTCGATGGCTGAATTAGATCATTGACTGGATCAGTTCTCCTGACCTGTTGTAAGAGTGACACTGGTATTAAGAACGGTTATTTAGACACAGTGAATACAACCATGATGCATTACCTATTCCTTCTGACCCTGTACTTTCTGAGAGGTCACTCTTTGCTTGAGTTGTTTGGACAGGTATATGGACAGCAAAACACAGATTCATCGAGGGGAAAGGGACTAAAAGCGACAGAAGAGATGAGAGGGGTTTTAGAAGAAGAATGGAGAGAGAAAAAGAGAAAGAGAGACTGAGAAATCCTGCCATTACTCATAAGTATGAAGCTTGAATTAACCTGGAATTCTCTCCAATCACAATCATCCCTGGAGACTCCGCACAAAGAGATATTTTTGTGTATGGAAAAGAAAGTAAATCAGGCAGCGTATTCTTGTCAGAAATCTGTCTTTGTATTGTCTTAATTCAGCCGAGGTAAAGAGCATATTTTGTTCACATTCTCAGTGCTTTGCATTCAATGAATTGCTCCCTTGTGAGGATAAAACCAGGCATTGTGAGGAAGATAATAAAATGCACAAAGACTAAGAGGTTGAATTATTTATATTTATGTATTCAGA